GGCAAGCACCAGTATGGAAACTAAACCCTAAACCCCTAAACCCTAGACCCTAAACCCTAAACCCCCTAACCCCCCTAAACCCCCTAAACGCCTTAAAGCCTCCTCTCTGGCCATGGTGTAACCCTAAACCCTAAACCCTAAACCCTAAACTCAGGGGAAGGGGGCCTCCTCTCTGGCCATGGTGTACTTGTCATAAGCCCTCTGGCACTTCGCATCGCAGCTCCAAAACCTCAGAGAGCTCAAAAAAAATCTCGGAGCCCCGAGAAAGGGTATAGGGTTTAGGGTTTAGGGTTTAGGGTTTTGGGGTTTAGGGTTTAGGGTTTAGGGTAAATGCCGAGCACGCAGCCAGCCCTTGGCATTGTGGTATTTATCCTAACCAGCACTGCCGGCACTGCTCCTCTGGCAAAACCCGGCGGGTTCAGGGACGCGCCTCGGCCGCTCGAAGGGACCTGCAGGCGTATTTTGCATGCGCTGAAAAAGGGGTGTTTGGGTAAGCAAGGAATTTTTAATTTTAGGGATCTTCAGAATTTCCGGGGTTTCGGAGGTTGAAGGAAGAAAGAGATGCCACGAATTCGTCCCCCAAAAACCTATAAGCCTTCACACAACAAGTCCTGTCTGTGGGCGGGTATGCGTGCTTTTCCAATGATCACTCATGTTAGGGGCATCCTGCAGTCCAAAGCTATGTCCCGGTCCTGAGCGCTGTCCGCAGCTCCTGATCCTAGGCACGAGAAAGGAAGACGAACGAAAGCTTTAGTTCTGCGAGTACCCAACGCCAACAAGATTTAGTTGAATCACGGTCCAGTCCTGCACCTCCTGCGCTTGTCGCACCCCCACGGCATACGTCTCCTCGGTCACCTCGTCGACGGTGAAGCCTGGCAGCAAAAGGTGGAAGCCAAGAACAAAACTGACTCAAACATCGCTTCGCTTCGCCCCGTCCTTTGGCGAAGGCAGCAATCAGCAGGCCCAGAAGCCACAAGGACACCTCGAGTAAAAGGCTGGCGCTCGGTTGCAAGGACCCGGCGAAAGTCTGCTCCGAGAAGGCCCCGGCAGAGACCGGCCGTCGCTTAGCGGCCCCAACCGCCCTGAGAGAGCTTTGCTAAACTTTTCTGAAGGCGGCTGGAGGAGAGGACCAAAAGGAAGGAAGCGAAAGTGCTGAGAAGGCTGGCGCGGAGCCGATAGTCTCCACGATGGCACCTGTCCCGGACTCGTCTTAGCACAGGATTTTTAGTGTGGGCAGGGCCACGGCCAAAGCCATCGTCGTCGCGGCGCTGCAACTCTCGTGCCATTCGCCTGGAAATGACTGGAGCATTGGATTGGGTGTTTTCCATAAAGTTTGGCATCTCTTGCAGTAGAATCCCGAGCCTTCCTTTCCGGATCTGTAGTGGGGGCCCTTCATGAGTTTCTGAACCCCCCCTGACTTCACTTTCCGGGGCCAGCGCCGCGAATCGCGCGCCCCTCGCTCGGACGCTTTGGCTTCCTAAGCTCGCGCCTTGAACCTACATGTAATGACATTTGTATGTATGTATATATAAGCCTTCCAGAATCGCAAAGTGCCAGCTAGGAGATGCCGGTATTGCCTGCCACTTGACTGCGTGACTGCCCGAATAAGTAGACTAGGGACTGGGTGTGTGTGTGTGTGTGTGTACACGTGTATATATATATATATATGTATATATATACACACACACACACACACATATATATATATATATATGTATAGATATACATACATACATAAATATACATATATATATATGTATATTATATATATACATATATATATGTTGTTTTACACGCATCTTACTTTTATGTCTTGCTATCATTATGGGAAGAAGCCCTGAGGAACAGAGACCTCCGCGTTACTCCGCAGCTCTCATTGGAGAGCTCTTTTAACCCACAGTCTTGCCTTTGCCCCTGTCTCCTTCCAAAAGTATAAAACGAGTAATCTTGATAACTCAACTGAAAAATGGGGACAGGCAACAGCCTTGTGCCTTGCCTCTCCCCATCGTCCCTTTAAGGGGAGCGAGCTCCACGAGCCAGATGTCCAAAGAGCCCAACTTGCCCCGATTAACCAACGAAGAAGCGATTCATCATTCGTACGCCCGTGCTCCTTTATTCTGGAAGTATACGAAACCTGTCGTTTAAACAATCTCAATGGGTCGGAATAAGTTGTGCTCTCTGGATGTGAGGAACTCGGTTGTAGATCTCGGCGCTCTTTGGCACCTTCCCTCCTTCTCAGAGGCCGGCGCCGGCCTCCTAGCAGCGAAAGCACGACATGGGAGCTACGGCTTTGGGTCTTGGAGCTTAGGCTTCTGTTTATGTTTGGGATTTCAGGGCTTTGGGTTTTGGAGCTTAGGCTCCTTTGGGCGGGGTTTAGGATTTAGGGGGTTAGGGTTTAGCGGAGCTTAAACTCTCACAACTCTGCACTTGCCAGAAGAGGTCTCAGAGCAAAAGAAGGCCCCGCCACGTCCCCGATGCGGAAGCTCGGGCTGCTGCGTGCTTTCACTCGGTGGGTATATTCTACCTTAAACTACCAAAACCTACTTTTTTGTAGGGTCCCTATAAATTCTATATTAGGGTTTATAATAAGGACCTACAAAAGTGGGTTATGGTAGTTCCAGGTATGTCTTAGACTCTACTTGGAGGATCATGGGACTCGGACCTAGTAAGTAAGGTTATCAGTCCCATAATTGGGGTTTTAAGGATAGTTACCTTAGTTATAACCCTATTTACTAAGTCTCATGATCCTTTAAGTATCGGGACTTTCATGCTTGGTCGCCCTGATGTCGGTCTCTCCGGCTGGAGGGTGGGCTCTCGCTCTGAGCTCTCCACCGCCCCCCCACCAGGCAAGCTCATGTCACGACTGGAAAGCCGATTGGAGAAAGCAGTTACATGTGGATACCAAGTTCCATGAACTTCGATGCAAGTGTTGGAGCCCTCATGAAACCGTAGACTCTTTCGTCAAAAACTCAGCGACAACGCCCCCCTAACCCCACCCTCTTCTGTCGGTCTCCTCGGAGCCGCTCCCCGAGCGGGAACGCTCGACCAGTAGGGAGTGGTTCACTGAAGGTATCCGTTCCTCGACATATAACACATGGATAGAAAGAGAGAGACAGAGAGAGGAGGAGAGCTGCAGATGTAATATAGGGGCCTTAACAATTAGAATAGGGGTTTGGGGCCCATTATACTATAGTTATAATAAGGACCTCCCCCCCCCCCCAAAAAAAA